ACTGTCTTTAAGTTTTACTTCTTGAGCTGACATGGATTAATCAAGCAGTCTTTTATAATTTGTTCCCTGGTATGGTATGAATGAAGGTGAGTAGAATAGAATAATTTCTGTACAGGCAGATATTGGTGAGAAGGATCCCATAATCACTTCCTATTTCTGGGATTCACAAGATTATTGCCATATGGCTAATCATTTATTACAGTGAAAGGCCTGAAAGTGCAGCAAAGTGAAAAGGCAGATGGGGTGAAGTTTGGGGAAACCAGGCTCAAGTTTCCCAGGGTCCTTTGTCAGTGGAGTCACACAGGATATTGTTTAGCAATTCATTGTGACAACGTGTGAAATGTTGCCAACTGAGAGATGTTATTGGGAGGCACACTCTGCTTGGCAAGCTTCCAGACTCCCAAAAGGAGAGCAGTTGTTCAATATGAGTTATATTGTTTATAGAACCAGTTTAGGCATAGTTAACTCTCCTTAGTTTGAGAATGGTGAGAAACTCACTTGAAGTACAAGTTTCCATACACTCGGAAGTATTTTAAAACATTTAGGGACTACCAGCATGTTAACTGCTGACAGCAGATAGCAACATTCATGCAGCTGCTTAATTCCTTTATGATGTATTTAATTGCCATTTGTAAATCTTTATTTGGTGAGGTATCTGCTCAGGGCTTCTGTGCATTTTAAAGTTGGGTTGTTTCTTTTCTTCTATTTGAGTTTTAAGAGCTCTTTAGATATTTTGGTGAATATTCCTTTATCAGATATGTATTTTGCAAATACTTTTTTCTGGCTTTTTGCTTATTTTCTCTTTTCTTGACATCATCTTTCAGACAGAAATTTTTGATTTTAATGATGTCCAGATTGTCATTTATTTCCTTCATGGATCATGTAGTTGGTATTTTATATTAAAGTCCTCACCTCCTCCACCATGTCACAGGTCAGCTAGATTTTATACCATATTATCTTTCTTTTTTATTGGCATTATCCAAAATATTGTTGTATTCTGACATGGGGGGAAAGCCAACGTATCAATTAAAAGAATCATATTAGGGCCCTCCCTGGTGGCGCAGTGGGTTAAAGCACAGCACTAAGAAGCTAAAGCCACTTCCGCATGAGTTCGATTCCCGCCTCCCCCGCCCCCAGGAGATCCACATGGTGCCAGATCTCTCCTGACCCGCCCGCTGCTCCCCGCAGCAGTGTACTTCGTCCATCTGCCTGTTCTGCTCCCC